GTGTGTGTGTGTGTGTGTGTGTGTGTGTGTGTGTGTGTGTGTGTGTGTGTGTGTGTGTGTGTGTGTGTGTGTGTGTGTGTGTGTGTGTGTGTGTGTGTGTGTGTGTGTCTATATGTGTATGTGTGTATATGTGTGTGCTCGCGTGCTTTACGTATACGCGCGTCCCTCTCGCGGCGGGACAAGAGTACGACGACGTTCAGCAGTCTCGCGCGATCTCGCGAGCGACAATCGAATTCCCTCTCTCATCATCAAACTCGCGGCTGCGCATCCCCGCGCGCTCCTCGCGGTCACGTAACGTCTCGCGGGAACACGTCGACCTAGAAGCGATGACGCCGACGACAATGACATTGCGTGGCGGCAACGCAATAAAAAGATTACGACAGCGGGCGTGATTGTGTTGCCACCTCTCCCCCTCCTCCTCCTCCTCCTCCTCCTTCTCCTCCTATCCCCCCCTCCTCCTCCTCCTCATTCAGCGATGAGGGACGCGCGTAATCTAGCTAACCCGAGCAACGCGCGTGTGAATCGATGGCGAACCCCGGGTTGTAAAAACGCCGTAAAAAGACGCTCGTCTGCTGATGATGATGGTGATGGTGATGGTGATGGTGATGGTGATGGTGATGGTAATGGTGATGGTGATGGTGATGGCGGGTGAGTGTAGGCCAAGACGTGGCGCTCGTCGTCAGGCTGCAGCGTAAATAGTTCACGTCGGGTCCCCAACGGCGGTACAAGGGGGGAGGGGAGCGACGTGGTGACAATTTGTGTGGCGATGCAATGGTGCTGACGTCACGGGAGATTCTATCCTGTCGCTCGCAGAGAATCATTTCTCTGTTCTTTACGCGCGTCGATTGGGTACGAATCGGAGCGGATTTTTCGGGAGAAAAAAAAACAATTATCCAATCAGAAATTATTTACTCTTGCCGGTAATTACTCCCAATATTATTTACTCCCACAAATCGCCTCTTATTTGTTTACGCTATGATTTACCACTGCTGTTTACTAAATACTGCTCATTTACTAACTAAATCGCCTCTTATTTGTTTACGCTATGATTTACCACTGCTGTTTACTAAATACTGCTCATTTACTAACTAAATCGCCGATTATTTGCTCCCTGTTCGATACACACGCTCGCCAATCGAGCGGACGAGTCTGAGCGAACGTTTAGAGAAATCCCGCTATTTTTGACACGTATATGTTCGTTATGTTTTGAAAGGCCGGCAAACGTATCACGCCTATTTACTTTGCCTTGCTACAGTCGTATAATTGCGTCGGTAATAGAGCGAGCTAGCTCATAGACCCGCTTATTCGACATGGTCGAGTTTTTTTTAACGAGCAGCAGAGGCGTCTGTTGACCCACCTGCTTTTAAGGCCCCGTCTAGCCCGACGGTATATAGAACAAGGATAGAAAGAGTTTATGTATACAACCGGCCCCCTTCACGTATTTGCTCTCGTGTACGCTTCGTCATATCGCCGCGAGCGAACTCCCAATTATTTTCGGCGTGTTGATAAATGAAATGAAAATGATTGATTTTGTTTCTGTCTTTCTTTCGCGCGCGCACCATTATCAGCCGACGAAAACAATCCGCTGAAGCAAGGTTTGCGAAAGCTAGCACGTCTTCTCCATCTGCCCCAACTTGTGGCGCATTGGCCAAAAGCGTTGACGTTTTCGTGCAAGGACGAAGACGAGGACGACGACAAGCCAGGACCGTATCCAGTCCCAGGTGCTCCAATCATGCCGTTTCGCTACACACACACACACACACACACATATATATATATACATATATGTGTGTGTATATACATATATATGTGTGTGTGTATATATATATATATATAGCGAAACGACGCTATTTCTCATGCTGCTGCTTCGGGTTCCGTACGCGAGCGTTGCGGCTCTGTGGGGAGTGGCTAGAAGCAGGTGTAGCCATAGCACTAATAGACAGTGCCATGCATTCGAGACCGCACTATTACTATTACTCGTGGAAATCGGCTGGCACGTCAAACACACGAGAAACAAATATGGCGCGCGCGTTTTAAAAGCACTGCATTTCATCCTCGCTTGCATGCACGTGTCGTTATTTGAATTTCGAATTACAAATTTTGGATTTCGAACGTGAAAGTTCGCACGAACCTAGTATAGGTCCCAATCCTAGGTAATAGCGCCCCATACACGCCAGTCCGTATTATTATCCGCATATATCATAAATAATTAGTCGGCGTAACTGAACCAATGATTTCTGATAACGGAGTTCTGTTTTCCCCAAAGCTACGAACTACGAAATATGCGTGCTCTTGTTCGACAGAGAATAACATCATGGTAGAGATGAGTGCGGTGCGGCACGACCAGCGTCCACTAGATTTCACCGAAACGTCGGTTAACCATGTGCCAGACTCCATAGAGGCCGGAAGCATCGGCATGTGTTCGTCGCCTGGTGACAGCATAACTCAACAGAGCGCTCCCAAGCTGGTGCGTCTGCTTTATTGTGTGTTAACGTTAACGCCCACTTCTCACCGCCACGCGTCGTGTTGATCGACCTTATTATAGATGATTATGCGATTAATATTTATAGGCTATTTCACCCTCTTATTTATAAAGGGGGTAACGTATTATTCGTTTGCCACCGCCTGCATATGCCTATAAACAATCGCGCTTACACGGGCGCGCACACACACACACACCACCCCCCCCCACACACACACACACACACACACACACACACACACACACACACCACGCCTTATCACGCGGCGGAGATGGGAACGAAGGCCTATGATTTAAAGGGCAGTTGGAGGTCAACGGCGCTATGCGTGAAGGAGTTTCGTCTCCGAGCTATACTGACAACAAAATCGCGGTGATGGAGAGGGTAGATTAAAGTCGGCATCGCGCGCAGACAGCGAGTGTAAGAGATACATGTGTCTCACTACACATCACACACACACACCACACACACACACACACACACACACAGCACACCACTCTACGCACGCAACGCAGCCACGCACGCACGCACCAAGATCCACCAACGCACGCACGCACGCAACCGCACGGCACGCACACACACACCACACATGCACGCCCCCCACACACACACACCATCCTCTGCTAGAATCCTACTACATTCTCCGCTCATGTCATTGCGGTAGTTCGTCTCTGGTAATGATTTGACGATTTGGTTTTTAGCACCGACAGCACGACAGCGACAAGGTCGTACAGGGCATGCACCGTGGCCCAGCTCACAACTGTCGATTACACGGGCGAGTACAGAACGAGCGCAGCGGAGAGGCCTCCATACACTGCGATGTCGACCGCGCGCACACATAAAACATGCTTCCCACATTTCTTATCAGACCGTACGTTGGCGGCGTAAGAAGGCGAGAGAGGGAGAGAGAAAGCGAGACGAGAAGAGAGGGGAGGGAGAAGGAGGAGAGATAAAGAGAAGAGAGAGACAACGAGAGAGAGCGAAAAGAGAGAAGATGATAGAGAGAGAAGAGCAAAGAAAAAGAGGAGGAGTAGATAGATAATACCGATAGATAGATAGATAGATCGATAGATTAGATAGATAGATAGATCGATAAGATAGATAGATAGATAGAAGATAGAAGATAGGATAGATAGATAGATAGGATAATAATAATAGAAGATAGATAGATAGATAGATAGTAGATAGATAGATAGATAGATAGAAGATAGATAAGATAGATAGATAGAATAATAGATAGATAGTAAGAGTAGATAAGATAGATAGATAGGAGAGAGAGAGAGAGACACACACACACACAGAGAAAGAGAGAGAAAGAGAGAGAGAGAAAGACAAACAGAGAGAGAGAGAGAGAGAGAGAGAGAGAGAGAGAGAGAGAGAAGAGAGAGAAAAGAAGAGATAGAGAGAGTAGAGAGAGAGAGAGAGCGAGACAGAAACAGGGAGAGGGAAAATAGAGAGACAGAGGGAGCGAGATGATGAGAACGAAGCAAGTGAAGTGCGCTTGTCGTCAGCTTGTTACTTCGCTTGATCTTGTTGTGCCGTTAATAAAAATAAGCCGTTAAATATATCTAAATAACGTTTACGCGTAATA